TTTGTATTGACTCACACCAGAAGGCTGAATGTATCGAGAAACAGCGCTCTAACCTAAAAAATTAATACTGAATATACTACTCTTTAGAAGTGAAAACTATACTCGATTATACGCGGCCATTTATGGTTATTGATACGAGTCGGCAACTTGATATAGTCCCATGGTTCAACAAAGTGTTGCCCGGATTGGGCGGCACTTTAGCGGTTTCAGCGTTTATTAGGCCGTAGGCCTGTCGCCGATTCTTAACATCGCAGAACATTCACAGTATTTTGCGGTCTCGAACTCGCAACTCACTACTACAATTCTGCTGTGCTTAACCGCCCGGCATCCTCGCTGATTCTGACCAGAAAATGGCGCACAGAGCTGGGATCGAACCCGCGCCTCTCTGCGCCAATCCTGGTACTCTGAAGGGCCACCATGCCCACTGGCACTCGCCAGTGTTGCCAACTAAACCGAAAGTTGACACAGTTACGTGTCGAAATTTGAGTGTACTCGTCTTGAGCAAAACTGAATTATAAGTGACGGACAAAATTATATTAAAAGTCGAGAATTGCATTTTTCGTATAAAAAACTAAAGGCCAAATAAATTTTGTCAAGGCAATGAATTTCAAAAAAGGCCAAATTTGCGAAATTTGTCCTGAAGAAGGCCCATCTGGCAACACTAATGATCGGAACGAGTTCGGTTGAGGCTCGGGTGCTGAGATTATTTTTCATCAAGTAATATTTACAAATTGAATGATGCTAGTTACTCCTATCATTTCATTCTTTATTATAGGTCTCAGTATGATCAGGTCATCAGTTTTCAATGTATGTAGTAATTTCTTTACTATCTGTAAAGAGATTCTTTAGTACTCTCTTGACGCAGACGTCCGGAGAAGTGTCGATTCAGTGCTGTACTACAAGTCGGTGACTCGAAGAGAGAAGAAATGTTGTCGCATGGATGTGTTAAAACGCAGTTTTTTTAGTTTATAGCCTTGGCTCCTGGCGTTGTTCTTGTTTCAAATTCTAGTAATCCTTCTGGGACCTTATATAAGCCATGAGTATACTGTATACTTGTATACTTCAATGAGTTCCCCACGCAGACGTCGATAATGGAGGCTTGGAAGCTTCATAATCTTTAATCTTTCCTCATAGGACTTGCCTTTCAAGCCCGGAACTATTCTTGTTGCGCGCCTTTGAACACTCTCTACTAAATTTCTGTCCTTTTCAAGTTTTGGTGACCACACGACGTTTCCAAACTCTAGGTTCGGGCGCACGACAGCAACAAACTACTGCTTCATCGTTTCTGCATCTAGGAACTCGAAAGAGCGTCTGATCAGTCCAAGTCGTTTATTGGCTATATTAACTTGACCTTCAATATGCGTAGAAAATTTAACTCATTGTCCACATAAACTCCTAAAAAAAATCCATTGTCGACTTCGACACCTTCACTCTGTCGTTGCAACCGTGTCTACTCATACTGTAATCTTGCTGTTCATTATTAGTGCCAAGGTGGATTACTTTACATTCGTCAGCATTAAAACGCAGCTGCCACTTATAAGCCCAGTCAACTAAACTGTCCGGATCGCCTCGCAACCGACTTTTTGCGATGAATTCTTCACTTTATTATTAATTTTATAAACTCACTGTGGGTTTCAAACCCCCAATTCACTGCTAATATCTTAGAAGCTCCAATTCCTCTTAGAAGCTCCAATTCCTCTTAGAAGCTTCAAAAATTCCCCTTAGAAGCTCCAACAATTCCTCTTAGAAGCTCCTTGTTAAGGAGAATCTTCGAGGTTGTTAAGGAGAATCTTCGAGGTTGTTAAGCTCTTAGAAACTCCAACAATTCCTCTTAGAAGCTCAAAAAATACCTCTTTGAAGCAAAAATTCCTCTTAGAAGCTCTAATAATTCCTGAGATGATAATCGGGGACAATTAATAAGTAATTATACCATTAACGGGGACAATTAATTACTTGTATTCCTGTGATTTAAAAAAGATTTTTATATATTTTTATGCAACACACGTAGTTTTTTTTGCACCTACTAAATGAACAATAGAAAATAGTTAATACATAATTGATAAATTGTTAACTAGTCGTACGTAAAATTATGAGTGATGAATTGAGCATGCAGAAAACGAGGTCGTCAGTTTCTTCAAGTGGGTCTAGTGGGGCCCTGTCTCTTATACACATCTAGATGTGTATAAGAGACAGATCTTCACTCTGTCGTTGCAACCGTGTCTTCTCACACTGTAATCTTGCTGTTCATTATTAGTGCCAAGGTGGATTACTTTACATTCGTCAGCATTAAAACGCAGCTGCCACTTATAAGCCCAAGTCAACTAAACTGTCCGGATCGCCTCGCAACCGACTTTTTGCGATGAATTCTTCACTTTATTATTAATTTCATAAACTCACTGTGGGTTTCAAACCCCCAATTCACTGCTAATATCTTAGAAGCTCCAATTCCTCTTAGAAGCTCCAACTCCTCTTAGAAGCTTCAAAAATTCCCCATAGAAGCTCCAACAATTCCTCCTAGAAGCTCCAACAATTCCTTCTTAAAAGCTCCAACAATTCCTCTCTGAAGCAACAACAATTCCTCTTAGAAGCTCCAACAATTCCTCTCAAAAGCTCCAGCAATTCCTCTTAGAAGCTCCAACAATTCCTCTTAGAAGCTCCAACAATTCCTCTTAGAAGCTCTAATAATTCCTGAGATGATGTAATTTCTAAGGCGCCAATTGACTAATATCAACCTAACCTTTATCGGGGATAATTAATTACTTGTATTCCTGTGATTTATTAACAAAGGTTTTTATATATTTTTATGCAACACACGTAGTTTTTTTTTTGCACCTACTAAATGAACAAAAGAAAATTGTTATTCCATAACTGATACTGTTAACTAGTCGTACGTGAAATTATGAGTGTTGAATTGAGCATGCAGAAAACGAGGTCGTCAGTTTCTTCAAGTGGGTCTAGTGGGGCCATGGTGTGCACCACACCGCGTGGTACTCAGGTGTGGGTAACTTATAAGAAAAGTTATGAAGCCAAGTAAAATTTGCTTGTTAATGTTAGCAAGTAGCAACTAAACTTGAGACTGAAGCAACTTGACCAAACTTTAAATTTATTAAGTCAAGTTCCAATTTTTAGTTCCAAACCTCCAATTTATTAAACTTTTAACGTCCCAAACTTCAGAATTCCCTGCGTGAAGAAATTAAAAATTTCAGAAGAAACTAATCTTAAATGTAAGACAAAAATACCTTGCAGTAAGGGAAGTCAACAGATGGTGTAGGTAATTAATATTTATCTTCAGGATGACAAGCAAGTGTCAACTGACACTGTCTCAGCGACGCAGTTTTCTTAAATACACCGATGCCCCAGCACTTGAATAACTTAGAGATTAAACAGAGTTTAATAATGCAAAAAGTGAGAAAAATAGATTAATGGCACGCATTATGAGTGACTGAAAGAGCATTTACAGGCGCGTCGAGCCACTGGCTGAATATTATTAGTTGAAACTAACAGTAAGAGATATCGAGTATTTCGCGAGGCACCGCATTTTAAGGAACAATAACAAGTCGAAACAAGTGCGCATCGTTAGGCGCAGCGTAACATCTCAATCCGGATTAGCACATGGTTGAACTAATAGCATGGATTAACATTGAACTCAGAAATCACATTTAATGATGAAAAATTGATTTTGGTTTTGCATACGAGAGGCATATTTGAAAATTACTATTAAATTCAAAATTTTACCGATCTAAATCGAAACTACAATCAGTATTGCTACAAAATTTGAATGTTTTGTCGAGGCATTGAAAAGTATATGTGTAGGTCAAATTTTTGCCTTCAATTCCTCAAAAATATGTACAAACAATCATTAATGGTGTGAACCAAATCAAACTATCTTCTTTTCGGCTGAGAATGAATGCCGGTGTACACCGATTCGACACTTCAGCGAACTCGCGTGCACCGGTCCGACACTTCAGCGAACTCGCGTGCGAACTCGCGTGCGCCGGAGCATCACACCCAGGAGATTGTCCCTCATCCATCAAGCTAGTTTAACTTTTATTAAATTTACAGTGTCATATATTACGACTCCATTCCTAAGTCCACAAAACGGCATCTCGGACAAATTTACGGCTGGACTTGCGGCCGGTCTCGCGACAAATCTTCAAATTCGGTGAGCAAGAAAATAAACACTGTCCTGGATATAATGGACCATCATGATTCCTGCCTTCGGGAACGTAGCCTACAACACTTAAAGCCGTCTGTATCTAGGCCGTGGGTCGAACCAGCCCTCGGTCGAACGGCCACTTGTCGAAGGACGATAAATCTTGGAACAGAACTATGCTATCTGAAACCTAACATCAGATGCGGTGAACGTAAAATTACGTAATTTAACGATGCCTGGAAGTCATATTCGATCCGCGGCCTGGTGGTGCACGGCAGGTGGTGGTCAAGGCCGGAAGAGGACAAAGCCGAGTGGTGCACGGC